GGAAAGGTAGGGGGTGTGTGGACAGGGTGTTTACAGTGAAACTATAGTGAAAAAGTATTTAGATAAGGCTAAAGATGTCTTTGTGGCATTTATGGATTTGGAAAAAGGGTATGACAGGGTGGATAGGGGGGGAATTTTGGCAGATGTTGCAAGTGTATGGGGTAGGAGGTAGGTTACTGAAAGCAGTGAAGAGTTTTTAAAGAGGATAGTGAGGCTCAAGTTAGAGTATGTAGGAAAGAGGGAAATTTTTTCCCAGTAAAGTAGGCCCTTAGACAAGGATGTGTGATGTCACCGTGGTTGTTTAATATATTTATAGATGGGGTTTTTAAGAGAAGTAAATGCGAGGGGCTTGGCAAGAGACGTGGAGTTAAAAGATAAAGAATCACACCAAAGTGGGAGTTGTCACAGCTGCTCTTTGCTAATGACACTTGCTCTTGGGAGATTCTGACGAGAAAGTTGCAGGATTGTGGTGAATTTTGGTAGGGTGGGCAAAAGAAGAAAATTAAAGGTGAATACAGGAGGAAAGAGTAAGGTTATGAGGTAAACAAAAAGATTTGGTGATGAAAGATAGAATATCTGATTGGAGGGAGAGAGTATGGAAGAGGTGAAGTATTAGGATATTTGGAGTGACGTTGTCAGCTTGAAGGGTCTATGAACGATTGAGGTGAATCATAGAATTGATGAGGGAACAAGAGTGAGTGCGTGGCACTTAGGAGTGTGGAGACAAAGAACTTTGTCCTTGGAGGCAAAGAGGGGTGGGAATTATGAGAGTATAGTTTTACCAACGCTTTTATGGGTGTGAGCATGGGTGCTGATGCATGTTGCAGCGAGAGAAGGTGGTGGCAGTGGGATGTCATGGTCTGAGGGAATGTGTGGTGTGAATATAATGCAGAGAATTCGTAGTTTGGAATTAGGGGAGGTACGGGATACAAAAATGTTGTCCAGAGGGCTGAGAAGGGTTGTTGAGGTGGTTCGGACATGTAGAGAGAATGGAGCGAAACAGAATGACTTCAAGAGTGTATCAGTCTGTAGTGGTCGGAAGCGGGGGGGGTGGTAGGGGTCGGCTAGGAAAGGTTGGAGGGAGGGGGTAAAGGAGGTCTTGTGTGCGGGGGGCTTTTACTTCCAGCAGGCATGCGTGAACGTGTTTGATAGGAGTGAATGGAGACAAATGGTTTTTAATACTTGACGCGCTGTTGGAGTGTGAGCAAAGTAACTTTTATAAAGGGGATTCAGGGAAACCGGCAGGCCGGACTTGAGTCCTGGAGATGGGAAAAGTACAGTGCCTCCCACTCTGAAGGAGGGGTTTTAAAATGTTGCAGTTTGAAAATGTAGTGGTAAAGCACCTTTCTGGCAAGACAGTGATGGAGTGAATGATTGGTGAAAGTTTTTCTTTTTCGGGCCACCCTGCCTTGGTGGGAATCGGCCAGTGTGATAATAAAATAAATATATATTATATATTTATATATATAAAATAAAATATATATATATAAAATATATATATATATACTTTATATATATATATATATAATATGCAATAAGATCACAGTAAACAGGTATTCAAAATTTATGCAAAACAACCCTCTGAAAAAATAGAGAAATTCCAAGCGCTTTCGTGACTACTCACATAATGTGAGTAGTCACGAAGCGCTTGGAAATTTTTCTCTATTCTTTCAGAGTGGTTGTTTTGCATATATATATATATATATATATATATATATTAAAATATATATATATATATATATAATATATATATATAAAATATTTATATATATATAATTGTGTGTGTGTGTGTGTGTGTTGTGTGTGTGTGGTCGTGCCGAATATGTAAAACTGCTTTCAGTTACAAAAACTCTTTTAAAAATTTAAAGGGTCCTTTCTAAAATTTTCTCTTATAAGTTTAAAGATATATTTTTTCATTAATGTTAATGTAAAAAATTTTAATTTTGCCCAAAAGAAACTTAGAGAACTTACCTAACCTTATTATAACAAGAACAATTTATTTTAGCCTAACCCAACTAAATATATTTTAGATTTGTTTACAATAATTTAATACTAAAAAAAAACACAGTGAAATTATATATTATATATATATATATATTATATATATATATATAAAATTATATATATATATATATATATATATGATATATATATAAATATTATTATATATATATATATAATATATATATATATATATTATATACGTATATTTATATATATATATATATATATATATATATATATATTATATATATATATAATATATATATATACATGCAATTATACATGCATATATACATATATATATTTATACATGCATATATATATATATATATATATATATATATAAATATAAAATATATATATATATATATATAAAATATATATATATATATATATATATATATAATATGCTTTGTACATACATACATGTGTAGTGTGACGTAAGTGTAAGCAGAAGTAGCTAAACGTACCTGAAATCTTGCATGTTTATGAGACAGAAAAAGGACACCAGCAATCCTACCATCATGTAAAACAATTACAGGCTACCATTTCACACACATTTGGCAGGACGGTAGTACCTCCCTGGGCGGTTGCTGTCTACCTACTGCCTATAATTTACAATTACATTTCAATTAATATTGAAATTAAGGAAGTGAAAATTACCATTTACCCAGAGGATTTGCCCATAACTATAACAGTTCGTTATATCAGGGTCCACTAGATCAAATGTTTACTGTACATGTATATATAATAATCCGCACATAGAAGAGAGAAGCTTACGACAACTATTCTGTCCGACATGCACCATTTACAAAGTCAAACTGTGTGACTTTGTAATGATCCAAATCAGACAGAAACGTCGTCGTGTCTCTGTGCTGGTTATTTGTATATTACTCCAGTCACAATATTGTGCCTTTAGCATTCTGTGGACTTTACTGCTCGCAGATAATTATTTTTAGTTTTGCAGGAGCTTCTAATAATAATTCCAGGGTTCTTTTATCTCCTCTGATAATTTGCTGCCAATCATATATTCGTGTTTGAGATTATGTCTATAAATGAGTCATTTTGCACCTGGCAGCACTGGAACTCACCTTCCAGGCTTCCTACCACAGCGCTCACCTATCCAGGTCACTTTGAATACTTAAACAATCTTCATTGGCTGCTGCATGTCATCCGCGAAGCTTGTTATTTTAGGCGTTGGCCCCGTCTCATATATTTATATTGTGAAATGGATGGAACCGAGAACTGGAGCCTGGAAAATGCTGTTATTAACGTCTCGCCAAACACTTCTCCGCTCAGTATTCGCTGTTTCCTATTGGTGAGTCAGGTTATGATCCTGGTAACATCTCTGCTAGCCTAGGCCAGCAATATGCTGTGATTCTTTTTTCGTTCATTTTCAGTATATATAACTATAAAAAGTAACTTAAATATGATCTTTTACTGAGAAATCGACATTGATTTCTGGCTATTAAAGTGATTAAATTTCCCTTCAAAAAAAAAAAAAAAGAAAAAAATACGAACTCGTCTCTAACAACATTTTTGTTTGCTGAAATGTGTTAAATTGAGAGAACAATATTTAGGTTCAAACGTCTGGTTGTCCGTCCTGGATGTTTTGAGACCATTTATTAATTTGAAGTTTGGTACCTTACCATTTATCGAATAATTTCTTAAATATTGTCGTTAGTGGAACGCTGTTTGATATGAACATTCTTGTATAAATCTTACCGGTAGTTCGTCAAGTCCGCTTGTTATTATTTACCTTCTCTGTGTATTAGAGTCACAGTAGTTAATTTGATAAATATTCAGAATCACGCCGCAATAACAAATTTTGCAGCCTGGGAATGTTCGTGTTGTGTTTTGCTCTATATACAGAGCTGAAGACGGTATTGAGAATTAAAACATTTCGATAATTAAAGGGCATTCCGTTGCCTCTTTCTTTCTCCATTACGTATTTGAAGAAATCCTTTAAGCTACTTTTAATGGTGAATGCATTTCGTCCTTCACGTTACGTTTAAAGTTTCTTATCGTCTTTTTGCTTCCTATTTGTGACCGAGGTTACCAGGAAATTTAAATTTCGTACATTTATCCCGTTTTAACCTACAATAAAAAAAATTGCTATAATTGATACTTTTCACGATTTATCAGTAGTATATGTTGGTCGATCTAGAAACACTGCCGGATAATGACCATGGAAAATGAGATAATGATGGGGTTTGCATGACAGGGTAATTATTTAATATGATTAATCATGGCCCAAGGGGATAGAGAGACTTATTCCTATGCATTAATAAGTAGGTAGATGAAGTAGAACAAAGGATTCGGGTGTGCAGGTGGGCAGATTCTGGGATAATGAGTGTGGAAAAGAATGTGATAATGGGTGGTCTGCATAAGCACAGGTGCTGTCAGGGGGTACAAGTTTAATATGTTTAATCAACCCCCAGGGGATAGAGAAGATTTATTTCTGTGTAATTACTAATTATAGGAAGGTAGGTAATGATCACTTCTGACACCCCAAACTCAATCACTGTGATAGATGGGAGAGGCAGTACAAAAAAGGAATCAGGTGTGCAGGTGGGCAGATTCCCAGGATAAAGAGTGTGGAAAAAAAGAATGAGATAATGGGTTGGTCTTCATAAGCTCAGGTGCTGTCAGGGGTACAAGATTTAATATGTTTAAACATCCCCCAAGGGGATAGAGAGAGAGAGAGGCTTATTTCTGTGTAATTACTAATTATAAGAAGGTAGGGTAATGATCACTTCTGACTCCCCAAACTCAATCACTCTGATAGATGGGAGAGACAGTACAAAGGATTCAGGTGACTGGGTACAAGCTTACCATCTCCGAGGGAGTCCCCCCCCCCTTTCCCGGGGCTGCGACTCACTGACGCGACTGTTGCTACTTCACAACAACAACACTGCTGGGTTTAAAGAACGTGGTAATGGATGGGCAGCTGGTCCCCCGAGGGGGTGTTGCTCGCCCGTCCGTACCTCAGCAAAAAAAGGTTCTTCCGGGTACTACGGTAGTGTTTATTCTTGCCAGCTGCTAGATTTTTCCAGGTGGGGGAGGCTTAAAGCAGTGAGAAAAAGGTCATCTAGGGAAGACCTTCGTGCTGATAGAGCTCTTATAGGAACTTTGACATATACATTTTCCTCTTACCCACTCTCAGATGGGGAGAGGCTTAAGTGGTGCGATATTGTTTATATATATGTTTAGACTAGAGAAGATAGTAATATATAGTTATATGTAAATAAAAATCAGAGTTTGTCAATATTTTTATTAATTCACATACAAAAGGGCAAAAAAGCTGTGCAAAGTTTTTTTTAGCGCGAGCAAAGGGGCGAAAACTGTGTGAGTTTTACTGGTTAGACTGAATGACTGCGCTCCTCCTGTTCACTTTCTGTAAGATTGATAACCTCCCGCTCGAAAATGATTTCCTTTTCAGGTACATCAACATCTGCCTTTACCCCTTCTGCCGTCTTTACTCCATCAGCTGGCTTTACTCTCACGTCGGGGGTTTTCCCTTCCTTCTCCGACTGACCGTCAGGGTGCGCTTCAAGGTCGCTAGTTTGTTCATCACCTGCTGCGGCAGTGACCTCAACAGAGTCATCAGATTGAGCAGTGAGCGTAGAGAGGTCCACAACGAGGTCATCAGACTGACATGAGGGAAGGCTCTGCGTTTCATCGTTGTCGAGATCTGGTTCTTTCTTCATAGGCTCCTCTATATCAGATGAACTGATCCCATCTTCCACAGGCTGTAAGTCATAAAGAGAACATATTTATCACTTTCAAATAAAGGAGTGGGACTCGTCTCTAATCTACCAAAGGAGGGAACATAGAAAGACGTACCCTTTCCTGAGGAAGCCTATGTTTGCGTTTCCTGCTATCATCACAATGACACCGCTTTAGGAGTTTGAAGCCGGTGTGTTCCTTCCCTTCCAATCTACCAGCCGATAAAATCAAAACTTTACAAATTCTGACTGGTCCAGTGAAAACTGTTGAAGAAAAAAAGGAGACTCAACTTTAAAATTATTATAAGTCTCTTTCGCTCGTTTCGTTAATATTCAAAGAGAAGTATCCAATCTACCAGCCGATAAAATCAAAAACTTTACAAATTCTGACTGGTCCAGTGAAAACTGTTGAAAAAAGAGACTCAACTTTAAAAATTATTATAAGTCTCTTGCACTCGTTTTGTTTCGTTAATATTCAAAGAGAAGTTTTTAGCAAAATAAAATGTCTCGCTTACCAGAATCGAGAATGCCTGCTTCCTTCGCCATGATGAGAGTAAAAGCCTATGGAGAGGTCAGCCTCTATCTTTTGCGGGGAAGACAGCTTCAGCGGGCTCTTATATACAGCTCAGAGAGGGCCTTACCAGCCAGGAGGGGTATTTGGGGGATACTCTCGTCAGAGGTGACCTTCCTCACAGAGGGAAGCACAAAGATAACCTTGTCTACTTAGGCAAAAAGTATTTTCACAAGGAGGTAACATTTTAAAATTCTCTCTAGCATATGCTATCACTAATCTGTCATTGATAAAAAGCGATTTTTCCGAGAAATTTTTTTTAAAAAATATAAAGCTCTTTCTAATCCCACAAGGCTTGCTTTATGAATAAACATCATAACATATAGACCGCAAGTGAGTGAAAAATCACTTTGTGTTCTGCCAGATAAACGATATAAATATTTAATTTTATTTAGTTTAAAAAAATTTTTAAATTTATGCCATAATTCTCTGGTTTTTTCCCGTAACTGTCAAAGAAGAAGGATAGACTATTTTTCTTGTCCAAGAGAAGAGAAAAAAAATGACCCATTACTTTTGAGCTGTACGAAGGAAGAATATTACTTACAAGCACTATGGGCCTGTCTGAGGGATAGTCATCTAATCTTATTTGCTGTAGAGCGTCTATAGTGAAACAGCCAATATATGTGACTTTATTTCCTAGGGCGGGAATTAAACTATTTATTTCTGCGCAATTCATTTTTTATTTATGCTCGCACATCACAATGAACAATCTATTCTGGTCGATGGATAAAACACCAGTGGCTGAGCAAATAATAAAACTACCTTATTATGAGGGGCGGGCTTAGAGAACTGTAATTCAATTCTCAAGTTACCAGATTTTTCAATCGGGAGAGCGTCTTCCACTTGGCTGTCGGTTAAATTGAAAATATTGATGGTTCGCCCGGAGGCGAATGATTCATAGAGAATTAAATTTTCTTCCTCAATGCCCAGAGAGTTAATTGCCTCATAATATAATTTACTATAATGATGGGGGAAATCACTGCTTATGCGATAAACTGTATTATTATTAATACATACAGATAAACTGGCTAGATCCCCATGCTCAAAATATAGACCATTCTCCTTATGTTTTCCTGCATAGGCTGTCATGGGCAAAATTACCATGAAAATTTTGGCGGGAATTACATGACCCCATGGCTGATCTATTAGGAGGCTCGTTTGATTGTGACCTAGCACATAATTTTTACTTAGAGTGCGATTAAAAGTATATATTATCGGCTTTGCGTCTAAGGCTAGAGACTTGTTCAAGGCCATATAAGCTGACGTATATGGGTACACCCTATTAAGCCAAAGTTTAGCATAATTAATATGGAGCTGGCATGTGCTGGCATCATCATCTGTTTTCAGAGTCCACGCTTGAGGGGATAATTCCAGCCTAATTTTTAAATCGATATTGTCAAGCAGATATTGGTCCAGAGTGGATATGTCCAGAGCCAAGGGAAAACACAGAGTTATGCCCTGTTCTTTATCATTCTTTGTCAGTATCTGTGGTTCTTTTGCCGATGTGCGGGCGAAATAGGCTGTATCGAAGAACTTAGTTATGCCTTCTCCTTTAAAGTCGGGCAAGAGATAGCCCAGTCGGGCGATACTCGGCAACTGGCTTCGTTTTACTGAGCTGCAGAGTTTAATGAATGACCAGTAATTAAAACTAGAATTTGATTCCGTTATTTGCTCGCCCAGGAAACACTGGACACTTTTAAATAACGTGTTGGAAAATCCATTGATCAGTGCAATGTTGCTTGTTTCCCCTAGTGGACTTTGCCCATCAGCCTCTGTTAGAGTCACTCTAAATTCTATAACTATTTTGCCTAAATCTAGAAATGCTCCGGGAACTCCAGGAATTCTAAATTCTAGAAAATTATCTTTTAGTTTTTGAGAGAGAGGAAGGTTTACTGGTAGAGTATCAAAACTCTGAGTGCGAGCTATGGAACTCTCAACTTGTCTCAGTCTATGCGGTCGCGGGAATTGATTAATGACGCTGGAAGAATAATCATTTAACGGGACTTTGAGTCCACTGTTTTCAGCCCCGACACCCGCCATGGCTAATAAGCAACTGTTTATACGAGAGAGAATACATCCGTTTTATAAGCAACTCGGCTTCGTCGGCGTTTATTTATCTTGCATTTATTCAGCCGTCGCTTAGTCACCCTGCTCACTCTGCCGCCCGTAATAACCTTCTTTGCAACACCTTTTAAAGCATCTATCCCGTGAGATTTAAGAGCAGCTTTCATGTCTGTTTTTCCAGACTGATAATCATCGAGCATTTTAGTTCCAAATTCTACTGCACTTGGCGCAGCCACTCTGAAAAGAAAAGGTAAAGCTCTTTTAGCTAGGCCCGCTAAAGCCGAAAAAAATCCCCCACCTCGGACTCTGTATGGCGCGTGAAAAGTCTGTATATCTCCCAGACCACCTCCCACCTGGGAGGGTTTTAGGGAGAATAAACTCCGAAATTCCTGCTCAGAGGGCACTTGAAAGGGTACACGCATGTTTGGCGGTTAGAGAAACAATAACCATTTTTACGCAGAGTTGGTTCTATTTATCGGTCTTACATGTAACACTACGGTAGTGGAATGACCGCTTTCAAAAGACAGATTACGACCAAACTGATCTGTCATTTTGATAGCTATTTTATCTAATTTAGTTACGCATAGAGGTTTGTACATCATAGGATGAGCACCTTTTGAATAACTCTCCTGAAAGGCGAAAGCATCCAGAATATTGACTAACTGACTACCGTATATTTGCGGTTCCACAATATCACTATATATTAAAACATAATCAACTCCGGCAGTGGGATCAGGCTTGAATGGGGCAATCTGCTTGGGGAAGGAGGTCCCCTCGGGCGCGTCACTACGAAATAAATAATATTTTTCAGCGCTGCTAAGCCAAGCACCCGAGCTATTCTCGGTTTAAATTGAGCTTTAAATGAAGTGGCAGCATTGTTTTTTCCCGTAAAGGTTCGCGATCTCGTCGAAACTAAAACCCTCCCAATTCCGACATCATAATTGAGTATTTTCCCTTTCGGGAAATGTGCCGAATAATTATCTCTAAAGGCTTTTTTTAAATCTGCTGTTAGCTGTCGATTAATTTCTTCAATAATATGGCTGGCATCTGTCGATAACACATCATTTTTTGGTAGAAAGTGATGGACTATTTCTTCTGTACTTATTCCTGTTTCAGTAATGTGATTTTGTATAATGTCAATACCGCATTCGGCATCGTCTCTTGTTAGAACATTGAATTTTTTGGGATACAAAACATTAAGCAATGCTATTTCGTAGTTCAAGGATGGATTTAAAGGCGTTGCAGTAATTATATTTTGAAAGGCCGAAGCTGTATTGTCGAAAATGTCAATATTTTCTAAACTGCTCAAATAGATATATTTCCCCGGACCCCCTCTGTCCATGTTGAGGGACAGAGACAGTATGAGGCAAATACAAAATATAGACCATTATATATATTTTTTAAAGGCTTAAAAAAACTTTAGTTTGAAGACTTTACATTTTTTATTTTTTATTAGTTACAGCACTTTAGTTTGAAGACTTTTACATTTTTATTTTTTTATTAGTTACAGCATTTAGGAATAAAATATCCACATCGTGCTGTCGTTTGCGTTTTCCGCGTGAAGTGACCTCGACTCCATCAGGCATGTCCATTTCACGCATGCCACTGTCTCGTTTAGTTCCAATCCCACCGGCCGGCCCGACGTCAGCACCGTTGACACCGCCGCTGCCGCTGCTGCTGCTGCTGCCGCCACCGCTGATGCTGGCAGTGCCTTGCTTCTCCACAGACAGCTGTAGTATTTCCCGTTCTAGAGCTTCGGGGGAGGCGCCGCGTTCAATTTCCACCTCATCTAGGATGATTTTAGGTGCTGCCAAGTATGGGCTCACTGACGGTATGAGCAAGCATGTCTGAATTTCCCGTTTCAGTAATATGTCTTGAAATATGTTAATGAGAGGGAGATATTCAGTGTGCCATTCATCGGCCTGTTTTCTGCTCATGCCAATGTACTGGGGTAAAATTACCCGTTTGATGTTGCCATTGGCTATCACTGCCCGACCCAGGGACACCAGACATAATTTAAACCAAATTCGTCGATTCTGTTGCGTGTCCTTGCTCAAACCGCGTACATAATGCGTGTCGAGACTACGCTCTAATTGCTGTTGTGCAATTTCATTCTTTTCAAGACAAGGACCCGCTGAGAACTGACATATTAGTGCTGCAAGGTGGGGTCTTAAAAAATCCTCTGGCCTGTCATCAAGGGTGTTGGTGCATGGTGGGGGTGATTTTAGGACAATTTCCCCGGGTGTGCCCCGATCAGCAGCTATGGCGCGGTTCACCAGGATTAGCGATTTTCGCTCAATTTTGGAAAAAGGATATTTTTCCCAGAGTGAAAGAGCCGGCTCGTAGGGGCGAGCAGAAGTAGCGTTGTGGGGATACACGATACAATCCCCATATTCCAGGAATTCTTCGCCCGTTATTCCCCCGACAATTACTGGAAATTTATATTCCATTCTCGTCAACAGTTGGCTTCCTTAGAGTCCTCGCTGAGGGAGTGAGACGGATAATGTTTATCAGCACGTCGGCGACGGGGTTTAAATACCGCGCTGCTGTAGCCTCCCACTCCCGCGGGTGGGTTTGGTAGGGGTTTGGGGGACCTCTCTAGGTTGACATTCGTCTAAGATGCTTATACAAGCTTTGCGCCCCTTCAAAAGCTTCTATCATATCCCGGAAATCATGCGTAGCATATTCTAAGCGTCTGATTTCAGCCGTCAGTTCTTTCTGATTAAAATTGTCATATAATTTTTCAATTTCATCAAAAGTCTTAGTAAATCTGGTCATGGGGCAATTGACTTTGAAGGATTCGTAGGTTTGCCATAAACTTTGTATCACACGAGCTTTGTAACACACTTGCTGATAAATCTTTCGTCTTGACGTTAATTGATGTAATAATATCGACAAACTGGGGTCCTTTTCTCCTTCTTCATTCAACGGGAGATTAATTCTCTCGGGATAATCAACTGATGGCTGGTCCATTTTTTTTTATGAATAGCACTTCGAGAAGGAACTTCTTGTCTCTATCCTGTCCCGGTATTTACTAAAGCGGGCAAAGCTCTTCTCTCGACTTTATGAAAGCTTAAATTTCAATAGGCTAAGCCAGAGCGGCTTTTTTTCCGCGGTCTTTTTAACATAAAACCGCCTAATAATTGTTTCTCGCCTGTGATTTTTTATAAATCTTGGCTCTAATCTAATAAGGCTCACTAATTCCCCTACAACGGGCA